AAAAAAAAAAAAAGATATGATTGATGAGTTTTGGATGAATGAAGATATATAAGGGAAGTAGTATTTCTCGTTGTTTTGGGGTGTGGCTTTTGATGCAAATTAAAGGGTTTACAAATGTTCAAGGGGTAAGACCAAAGTTGTCGTTGATGGCACGCCAAAGGGCCCCGACTGATATATATCACTTCCCACTAATTGCATTTTTACATAAATCCAAATGATTGGTGGTGACCCCAAGAAACCACATCCCTCTTGTCTCTCCAATTTCAAACTTTCCTCTCTCTCTCTCTCTCTCCCTCTTTGTCTTGGTGGTGTGTTGTGTTGTGTTGTATAAAATCTTGGCCTCAATGAAATAAAAGGTCTTTGCAAATGATGAAGATGATTCCCTTGGCGTGCAAGTATTTGTTGGGGTAAAGGTGTTCCCAAGTTTCATGGCTTTTGATGGGATGGGATGGGATTTTTATCATGTATAGGGACCGTCCGTCTCATATTTTCAGTAAACTTGAGTGGCTTACATATCATATTTGTATGATTCAATTGCCTATTCATCAACCATATCAAATTCAATTTTTCAAATGTGAGGCTCATTTTCGTTTTCTGTTTTCTTTTGTTTTCTGGTAGATATAGAAGAAATACAAATTATAGGCTTCTTTTCTGCGTCAAAAGTTGTCAGGTAGGCTCTATCTATCTATCCATCCAGTAGAAAGATTTAAAGTGAAGGGTTTTTTCTCCTAAGAGAGAGTTGACCAAACTGTGAAGACGATAATGATTCTTTTTAATTATACGTACTCAAAAGAAACAGTCACATTTTTATCTTTGATCAGGCTTTGAGCAGAAAGCCTGAGAAGTGGTTGAAAGCCTTTAGTTATATGATGGCCTTTCCACTTGCCACTTTGCCTAAGTAAGTGCCCCCATTGCTCGAAGCAAACTAGGGAAAGAAAGAAAGAATTAGTTTGTTCCAAACAAATTGCTCCAGAAAAGGAAAGATGGTGTGCTTACAGAAACTCCAGATACAAAAATGGCACATACAAACTATACATGTATGTGTATGGTAAAATGGAGGAGGGAAACCAAGGAAAACAAGACAGAAAACTCTAGTGTGAAGTGAAGCGATAAGATCAGCACCAAAGTTTCATGTATAAACAAACAGGCCCCAAAACGAAAATGATTGTTACAAGGACAAAGTTGGGCACTAATTATAAATGTAATAATTACAGATTCTAATAGCTTTATTACGGTCAAGATGCAATCCTGCTTTATCATTAAGTTGTGCAGTGTCTCTACAGTCTTGGACTTTGGAGTGAGTGGAGTGGATTTCCCTGGTTCTTCTAGTTACTTTCTACTACAAGTAGTCTCTCTCATTGGAGGGGTCTGAGCCTCTCTCTCAAGAATGAGAAACAAAGAATTAATATTGGGTTGAAAATTTTGAGGGGGCACTCACTAATCTGCTTAATTAATATTAATATTAATACATATGCTCATCCGTCGACATCCTTAAGGCTTTACTTTAAGGAAGGGCATTTCTTTTTATGCTGCGGAGGATCACCGGCTGCGGTCTCCCACCTCACCACCATAATATGCTAACATATATTACCATCATTAATCATATGATTGATTGATTGATGTGAAGCAGTTAAAACCCTGTTTCTAGTTTCACATGTATACAACTATGTACTAAGAAACTTTCCCTGTTTCATATTTGTGTTCAAATCCCTATTTCATTTTTGTGGATGAGAGAGAGAGAGAGAGAGAGAGAGAGAGAGAGAGAGAGAGAGAGAGAGAGAGAGAGAGAGAGAGAGAGAGAGAGAGAGAGAGAGAGAGAGAGAGAGAGAGAGAGAGAGAGAGAGAGAGAGAGAGAGAGAGAGAGAGAGAGAGAGAGAGAGAGAGAGAGAGAGAGAGAGAGAGAGAGAGAGAGAGAGAGAGAGAGAGAGAGAGAGAGAGAGAGAGAGAGAGAGAGAGAGAGAGAGAGAGAGAGAGAGAGAGAGAGAGAGAGAGAGAGAGAGAGAGAGAGAGAGAGAGAGAGAGAGAGAGAGAGAGAGAGAGAGAGAGAGAGAGAGAGAGAGAGAGAGAGAGAGAGAGAGAGAGAGAGAGAGAGAGAGAGAGAGAGAGAGAGAGAGAGAGAGAGAGAGAGAGAGAGAGAGAGAGAGAGAGAGAGAGAGAGAGAGAGAGAGAGAGAGAGAGAGAGAGAGATTGTGGATGAGAGAGAGAGAGAGAGAGAGAGAGAGAGAGAGTGTGTGTAAACTCAAAAGCATATTTGGGTCGGGGGAGACTAATAATTGAAAAACAGGCTAACAGAATGCTTCACATCTGCGATTATTAACTGAAACCAATTTCAAATTGGGAAGAAAGAATAATTAATTTCATTGATATGCATGGGAAGTTTCTTTATCGTGTTTCCATCATATTCTGCAACTGCAAGTACATCTACATTTGACTAGACAAACGGGTAACTTGTAGCACAAGCATCTTGTATCTTCACTTGGTCCATTTCCATTTGACTACCGAGGATTTACTGTTGGTTAAGATGTGTTTACCATGGGGAGGAGTTTGGTTGAAGCGGTAGATAATGTTACCAGTAAGTAAATTAGCTTGTGTATATCAAGGCTTCATTCAAAGATCATTATATAGCTAGCACTAGGCTACTAGCTGACTTTACATTTCAGAATCCAAGAATACATCATCCCATCAACTGTCAAAGTGAAACAAAAGCAGAGGATGGTCCCAAAACCAGCCATAAAGTCATAACTTTTCTAAGTCCAGATTAATTGGTTCAAAACTTTAAACCAATCCGAGGGTTGGAAGGATGAATATTTCGAATAGGATAAGGGGCTCAGGTTCAGCTCAGCCCAGCTTGCCAACCAGAAAAACAAAAACAAAACAAAAAAAGAAAAGCAAAAGAGGAACCAACTGGGGACATCATAACCTCCCATGCCAAATGCCATTAACCACAGAGTGCATTGATGTTTCCCCTGTATATGTGGGCCTCTGTTTTTTTGTTCACTCCCTCGATCTCTATTTTTATCTTTTTCAGGCTGGGGGCAATGTTTCACCAATTGAACCGTATCACTTCCTCACTCTTCCATAATACAAGCTCAACTATGCCTAATTTGACTCTCAGTCGGTTTTGGATATTGATTATATTACCAAATGGGTTTAAACTGGGTTTATTTGAATGCCAAAATGGGTTCAAACTTCAAACTAGAGTGCATGTCTGCCATGGAAATGTAGCAGAAGGCTTAAAATGGTATGATCTACCAGTTGTTCTAATGTAGAACAGATGGCTGAAGCGATAGAAGAGGAGTTGGCGCTTGACAGTTTTGCCTCTACTATCGCTTCAGTCATTTATTCTACATCATGTTCAGACGACCATAAATACAGCAGGGTCAAGATTT